ACTATATTAATGAACTGTGGATGTCCAGGCGCGCGGCACACCGCGGCTTATAGACCAGCGTTAAAACAACCTGATCTATATTCATGCCACGACATCAAGCCACCAAATCATACAAAGAACATTGAGTCAAGTATTTTGCCTACAGGTAAGTAAAATAAAATTGAAATTTGAAAGCCCTGATATTCTGATATGTAGTGTGCACCGCCCGCTGCCCTATATTACTCATTTGACCGATAGGTGCAGTGGCCGCAGTGCAGAACTCCGGCTCTAGGCAAAAAACCCAAGCAGTTCTTCCTAACGCATCGATGTCCCATAAATGCATCTTCTAAGCTCTAAAATAGTAGACTTTGTACATTTACGGTTTAGTAAAAACCGAGACGATGCCGCCACAGGTAAAAGACGCCTCGTACTTATGATATTTGAACAATGCCGACACAACCGCGCCAATATAGCGAAACCCGCGCATGCGCATGCTCGCTCTGCGACATGGGATAACATGATTTTTAAAAACAAAAAAAGTACAGTCAACTTTTACAAGATATGATTTAGTTACGAAATGTTTTCTTCAACAATAAAATTTATGCGGAATGTAGATTCGTTATCGATCTTACGCATCAAATCAACGTCGATGCCGAACAAAATTCATGAGGGTCGAACAAACAAAACAATGATAAATATTGGATAAACAGCCTCATCAACGTCGCGCCTGAGCTCAGGTACACAATAAATCACGAAGCACTTCCTAAAAACTAATAATGTCACCCTATCTAATCGTATATTTGGCAAAGAATAAATTGATATACTTTTCGTATTTTTTTGCTATTTTTTATGATACTAAAGCACATCCAAGCAACGAACCGCTGACCAACGAAATTTTTATTGAAAGGTAAAACTGCAGCAGGCACATTTGGTAAGCAATCACGTTCGCCTACTCACGCATGCTTCTGCTAGAAACTACTGCTTCGTTATGTAACGAATTATAATTGTTATCAAGTTGGCCATTGAGCTATCATAAGGTTACTATACTTTGTTTAATATGTAGATAATATAATGTGCCTTACACTACTCGCCTATATTACGTAATTTTGCTAGCTCCAACTCGCAGAGAAACGCGAAATGGGTTACATGGTTAGCGCCTGCAGCAGTCAATGCAGCATGACAAATTAATATTTCGAATAAAATACTGATAAGAGAATTAATATCCGTAGGTTTTCAATATTATTAATAATAAATAAAATATCATGAAAATAGAGGTGTCCCCCCAATCTTGTCACAAAACTTCATTTCATCTTTGGCATTTCTGGATCACAAATTGTTTTGCCGAACAGCGTAGTGTACCACATCCAACAAATTACACCAAGACAAGTTTTTAGATAACAAGACTGAACACCAAACTGTAAACGGACGTACAGTAACTCAACGACAGAAATTAAAATTAATGTCATAACTCATAGCTTGTGACTAGATCCGAAGACTTCCACTTGCACCCGGCATTGATTTATGTGATGTTACCATCCTTAACGCTCACTACAACTACTTCTATGTAATGCTAACCTAAAATTGCCTGACCAATAAATATTTGCACTTGGCAAAAGTCCACGATAAATATAAGTCGATAAGTAAATAAACGAAAAAAATCTTGTTAATCAATAATGCTATATATCTCCTAAGCTTACGTTCATGCGCACAATGTAGGTTTTAACGATTGTTCAACCCCCTTGTTGCGACGTGTAGCTCCCACCGCTGTCGTCTGCACACATGCCCAGCAGACGCGCACGCGTCATATGATTGCGTTTTGTCATCTCACAGCGTCAAGCGTTGTCCACGCTACACGCACGCCACGCGATACAACGCCTTGCGAAAAGTCTGTATGAAGCCATAACAATCGCCAGCAGTATTTGGCACTTAGACTATTTCTCACCTTACAACGCAATATATTACGCGTGGAATCGGCTTATTAAAACGACATTACACAATTCTAAAGTGAATCTTGTATATAATTATACGCGATGTAGGCCTACGCTACCTAAAGTCGTCTACAAGACATACTTCGAAAACTTAACTGAGAGTTATAGCTGCATAATAATAAACAAGACGTTTCTCCATACATACCGCGGATCACGGCGCCAATTAGCCAAGATACAATTGCACGCATGACACGTGATCGCGTCCGAAACACGTGACTGTGACGTTCACAACCGTCGCTCCGCCAAGATTGTTGGTTCACGACAGATCTCAAACATCGACGTTTTTGAGAATCAGCCAGAGGAATGCCCTCGGTTAAACTATGCAATAATTTAACATTTTAATGGAACACCAAGCAGCACGGGGGTGACGCAGGAACGGCCGTAAACGTAATGCGTTCATATCAGGAGGCCTTTGCTGGCTGATCCAGCAGACAAGCACGCAGCAAAATGTCGCGTAAGCGTTGGTGCAATTTGCCCTCGCGTTAAATCACCTATAAGCGAATCTACGAGTATTACAATCTAACAGCCTGCCATGTCGAGACGCCGACCGACTTGACTTCTCTACATAGAAATCGAAAATCGCAATAACACCTCTTCGTTGACGGTACTGATTTACTAAGCCCTATAACGAATGGCGTCAAAACATGTGTAGCTGCCCTTTACGGAAAGGTAACTTCATCGAGGGGGATCTTCAACAACTATTTTAGATATACACGGGAAAAATTTACAGCGTCAACTATTTCGATTATATCATTTTGGTTTTAAACAACCTAATTAATAAGCGTCATGGACCTATCATGTGATGAGTTGAGCCGCGCGCTCGAAGCGACGTCGTACACTACTACAAACTTTGGACTTCACGGGTTTCGCTGAAAACTGACAGAATCTTTAACAAACACGGAGCGATTGGCAAGACTATTCATTAGTTCATTCACGGTCAAGTATTACTATCCACAGTATTCCGTTGCCACAACAGTCACTATGACAGCACATGTACTAGCGACGTCATCAAAAAGGACGCGCACGCTGCACGAACAACACCGATGACGAACCGTGAAATGAACTCATTACACCAAAACGCTTGGCCGAACTGAAACCACCAAACCGTACATTGAACTGGACGATGACAAACAACGATGCAGTGTGATACGCTTATTCGCCTGGCTGTTTGGCTTCTCGGCCATTTTCTTCCAATCACACTCTGCACTGAACTGTGAATACTCCTTCCAACCCCACGGACGAACTCACACAGGAAAAGAAAATATATTTCTTCCAAATAGGACTAGAGACTCTTTAGTCAAAATATTGAGGGCCTCTTTAGTCATCAGATTGTTTTAAGTATCGTACTTATACAGAATATATTAAGTAGAAATACTTTACGTTTTAAGTAAAATATTGGCCTTTCGAGTGTTATATTACAGACGATCATTTGTCACGGCTAAAAGTATACTTTATTCTATGTGTACATATTAGAATATAATATACATTCTATAAAAGGGGCGTTTAAATAAGAATACGCCTCAGCTCGTTATGCGTTCTATAGCTGTTACGTGTGTAAATTGTCTCTTCATCTTCCGCGAAAGCTTATAGGAATTTTGGAGAGGTTTAGCAATGAAGTTGCGGTCTCATTTGTATATAAATCGGTTATAGAGACTCTATTTTGGGAAATGTTAGCAGCAATGAAATGAAGGGGCACGGCTCGTAAACGGCTGACAAGCAGAAGAGTTTTGTTTGGGCGGAAGAATGAGCAGACGAAAAATTTCAAAACATCTTTCGTGTAAATAGTCCGAGCGCTAGTCTCAGACAGTCACCACTGACGTGAGTAGAATTAACGGTGTTCCCTGTATAAAACATACTTTATATACAAGTGAAAACCAGTGAATACACGTGGTACTTGGTTCAGATTGCGCGAAGCGGCGAAAACGCCACGCATAAGGATAAACCAAGTAACATTCTTTATCATAAAGTATTCCGTCAACGCAACTGTGAAGATATCTGCTTCCAATTTGCGCCTCCTCTTTTCGTGACGACGTTTTCTGCACGACAAAAATAACTGCAACATCCCCAATATAGGCGAGGGCGGCCTCGTTGTATACACACACTCTCTCTCTCCCTCTCAATATCGATGATCACTAATCCAGCAGCTGCTGTCACAGGCAGCCCGCTGTGCTGGTCCGTCCCATAACGCGTTTCTAAAACAGTTATATCAGGAGTGCTATATATCTCACAATACAAACAAATAATAATAATATTACAATTTAAGAAGATATCATTCGCGAGATAACATGCGCGTCATATTGACGATAGGAAAAAGAGATAGATATAGCAGCTAGAGATGGAGATGAAGATGGGGAGGAAGATGTAGATAGACAGATAATATATATATAGAGAGAGAGAGAGAAGAAAAATGTCAGAGTGATAAAACGATACATGTATTTCTGTATATGTGGACGGGATGACTTGGCAAGATGTGGAGAGAGAGAGCAGAGAGAGAGAGCACGAGGGGGAGAGGGAGAGAGCACACACACAGAGGAGAGAGAGAGAGAGAGAGAGAGAGAGAGCAGGTAAGAGAGAGGAGAGAGGAGAGACGAGAGGTGAGAGAGAGAAAGAGAGAGAGAGAGAGAGAGAGAGAGAGAAGAGTGAAGTAATATATTTATTTATTTATTTATTTATATACAGATGTGCTGTGTCATATAAAATGTAGTAGGTTATATGAATCAATATTAGGTAATTATAGATGTCTTAATAAACATAGCATACGTGTCTGAGATGTGTCATTTCGCAGTGATAAACAAACAAAAACACAGACTAGTCACTCTTAACTGCACTGTCCTACGAAACTGTGCGAATCAACAGCTACAGTGTCTAGACGCAGATACTTTAATCAGAAACGCAGCGAAATGTCTGCGTTCCTTAACAGATTACACAGAAGAACAATTAAATGTTGTATACGAGGAAGTTTAGAGATAGGCTCACGGATATGATAAATCAGCGGCTCCGTATTGAAAGACTTGTGTATTGTGACATATACAGCGGCACAGCAGGTCAATGGCTCGATCCAGAACATGCCCTCACCGACCGCAGCTGTTGCTGGCTTCAACATTGCTCAAGCCAACGGGCAGCCAAGCGAGATCTACACTAATGGCATCCCTGCACAGTATGCTGGTATGTGTAGATCAAAATTATCAATCTCGTGACAGCTCCCCATAACGTCGTTATAGGTGAATGGCTAAAAATCTAACTAGAGTAAGCCTGCTCGTGTTACTATTTGCGGTAAAGATATTGGAAGAGTCGCAATCGTACTGCGTTTTAAATGTGCGCATGCGCCGTTTGCTGTTATTCGGAAATCAGGAATAGCAAAGTACGAGCAAGTAAATGTTCATCTATACTTGCAGCTCAAGGAGTCGGCAGCGGGGACCCTCTTCAACAGTATGCTGGCATACAGCAATTCGCTGGTGAGCAGAGATAATCAGTTTAAATCGAATTAGCATGTTGCTAGCCGTACTAAGCGTTATTGCTGGTGTTGCCATGGTTTCCACAGTAGCATTTGACATAGAAAGTCGAATATCGCTTCTTGAGTGGATCATAGACTATTGCAATATGCCATTACATTTACCCGAGGACGCGTCTGCGATCGTAGAATCAACTTTCAGTGATCATCATCGTAATGGTAAATGTCGGGTGACTATCAGCGTCGCTGCGAGCGGCACCGTGCCTCCCCTCATAGACAGCTCTTTATATAAACGCATGCGATCTTAACGTTGCTGCTAGCGACGTCAGAGTGCGCTGCGCAGAATTCTTTATCTATTGACTTTCCTCGAGGGAGAATGGCTGCTTCGCACTGTGTCTGCGTTACTGATGAAGTGATTTTGCTTGTCGTTGCAGCATATCCGGCTGCCTACGGGCAGTACACCCAGGCGCTGGCCCAGCAAGCCGCACTGCAGCAAGGCGCACAGATCAAGCATGATGGAAAGTTCCTATCAGGTACGGTATTATTAATCATGTTGTCTTCTCTCAGCATATATGCAGCGATACACAGTCGTGTGCGTGCGTGCGTGCGTGCGTGCGTGCGTTCGTTCGTTTTTTCGTGCGTGTGTGCGTGCGTACGTGCGTGCGTGCGTGCATGTGTGAGTGCGTGCGTGCGTGCGTGCGTGCGTGCGTGCGTGCGTGCGTGCGTGCGTGTGGGTATCCGTGATTAAGCGCGCGGTAATCGCAACAAGGGCAGTGCTACCAAAATTTACAAGTGAAAATTATAATTCTATCATCTTCTTTTTCCTGGCTACTGATTTAGTCAACATCAGAACAGTTTTAAGCTGGATGGGGCGAGGAGCAGTTAACTCGCACTTGTAGATGAAAATAGGATCATAGGATCGTGACGCTTGCGTTAGGCCAAAACAAAATATATGTGTGGTTACCGTTACATGCCGGAAAAAAAGGTGTAGGTAGGGGAAACATTTTATTTTCTTGAACATATTTTATTTACGACCATGTCCGAAGGAGTGCGTTGTGCTTTTGAAGTAAGAACTGTCCAATTCTTTTTTCTTTTTCTTCTTTTTTTACTTTAAAGAAATTGACAAATAAAATGTTTAGAGTCGCTGGAATAAATAGGGTCGGTCGGAAAACCGTAACACACCTATATTTTGTTTTGGTCTTAGTGCATATCTTTCTGTCCGCAGTACGTAACGCACGATATAGTTTTGAATTTGGAGAACGCCATTATTGCAGTAGCACCCCGACCCCCTTATAACCACTACGTGTCGTTACCGCCAACAAAATGTATCAGTAAATCCACGTCTAGTTAGATTGTAGTTTTATTGATTATTTGAGGTTTAAATAGCGAAGTACTTGCACGTCGTAGCATGCTAGCCGACATTTAGTACAACAACAGTTACGTGCGACATTATAAATCGAGTGCTCGTTGAACACGTGGCGTGTGTGGTGGTGACTGCGTTAACAACTGAGCAAACCCTCGTAAATATACGTTCCGTTCGTCGACATACTATTGATTTTAGGATAAACGTTATGGCGCTGATCTTTATTTGCCTTTCTTATCTGTGGTGCTGTCCTAATAAGAATGAAATCACGTGTATGGGCGCATACGAACACAAATTCAACCAATTTATTTCCGTCGTTCGCGAATACCCTTTAACGATTTGGCGTGACCACGTAATTTCCTCATGCCTCTATTTGTTTCTAGCCGATAAACCGAATGATTGTATTTTAGTTACAAATTGTTTCGTTTTCATCGTGTTTTTGTTTGCTTCCTGCTTCACACGTTATTGCATGCTTTCAGCTGACGTTGCTGACTGGTGCTACCCTCTACAGCCGAGAAATGGACATGTGATAGCTAACACGGTGCTGCCCTCTGCTGCAGGTCCGAGTTTGCAACCTGTTCATCCTATATCTGCCAGCAAGAGAATTTGGCGACGCTGAGCTATGCAGATGTTCATGCCATTCGGAATGTCATCAGCTCAAAAGTGTTTGTCGATCGCGCACAATCAAAGCAAGTGCTTTGGTGAGTATCGTACAGTAACACGAGAAACGCTAAGTTATTATAATTTAATAATTATAACTAATAATGATGTGTTGATCATCATTATTGTGATAATAATAATAATAATAATAATGATAATAATAATAATAACTGTAGTAGTTAATAAATAGTAATAATAGTAATATAATAATAACATAATTATTACATTATTAATTATAATATTAATTAAAATAATATGTCAGCACTACTTTTTTGCAGTAAGGCCTAGTATTTTGATAGTATTCATAATGAAGATTATAATGAAATGATATGATCTCGAGCATTATCGACAGCATTATCGCATTATCAACAGTAACGATCTGCACAGGAGGCTGTTATTCTAACTCCTCTACCATGGCAATAATAAAGCACAATCTATATAACATAACTACGCAGTAGTATCCGAGTGGCATGCATGTACGTGAGGTGGCAACGATTTAGGTAATTTTGTAGATTTAATGCGTACATTTGTCGTGCGTTCCAGGATTTGTGAGTTTCGACAACCCCACCAGTGCCCAGGCCGCCATTCAGGCGATGAATGGATTCCAGATCGGAATGAAACGACTTAAGGTACAACTGAAGCGTCCAAAGATGCAAACAGGCCTTATTAAACACTGCACTGATAAAGGATCTATAAGGCGAAATGGTAGGTATGTACATAAAACTTGTGGTATTTTTCTTATATTCCACCCCTTCATTACCACAACTCACCAACCTCTATATGATCCATTCTTTCCATTCTCCCCCCCCGACTTCTTTCTCATTCCCGTCGTCTATTTTTTCTACTTGGTTTGTGCTTCGTCGCTTTCTCTCTCTCTCTCTCTCTTTCCCTCTCCCCCTCGCTCTCTCTCTCTCTCTTTCACTCTTTCTCTCTCTCTCCTCTCTCTCTCTCTCTCTCTTCTCCTCTCTCTCTCTCTCTCTCTCCTCTCTTCTCTCTCCTCTCTCTGCTCTGTGTCTCTCTCTCTCCTCTTCCCCCTCGCTCTCTCTCTCTCTCTCTCTTTCTCTCTCTTTCACTCTTTCTCTCTCTCCTCTCTCGTCTCTCTCTCTCTTTCTCGCTATCTCTCTCTCTCTCTCTCTCTCTCTCTCTCTCTCTCTCTCTCTGTGTGTGTCTCTCTCTCCCTCTCCCCCTCGCGCTCTCTCTCTGTCTCTCTCTCCACATCTTGCCAAGTCATCCCGTCCACATAATCAGAAATCATGTTATGTCGTTTATCACTCTGACATTTTTCTTCTCTCTCTCTATATATATATATATATCTGTCTATCTACATCTTCCTCCCCATCTTCATCTCCATCTCTAGCTCTATATCTATCTCTTTTTCCTATCGTCAATATGACGCATGTTATCTCCGAATGATATCTTCTTAAATTTGTAATATTATTATTATTTGTTTGTATTGTGAATATATAGCACTCTTGATATAACTGTTTTAGAAACGCGTTATGGACGGACCAGCACAGCGGGCTGCCTGTGGACAGCAGCTGCTGGATTAGTGATCATCGATATTGAGAGGGAGAGAGAGAGTGTGTGTATACAACGAGGCCGCCCTCGCCTTATATTGGGGATGTTGCAGTTATTTTTGTCGTGCAGAAAACGTCGTCACGAAAAGAGGAGGCGCAAATTGGAAGCAGATATCTCACAGTTGCGTTGACGGGAATACTTTATGATAAAGAATGTTACTTGGTTTATCCTTATGCGTGCGTTTTCGCCGCTTCGCGCAATCTGAACCAAGTACCACGTGTATTCACTGGTTTTCACTTGTATATAAAGTATGTTTTATACAGGGAACACCGTTAATTCTACTCACGTCAGTGGTGACTGTCTGAGACTAGCGTCGGACTATTTACACGAAAGATGTTTGAAATTTTTTCGTCTGCTCATTCTTCCCCCAAACAAAACTCTAGCTTGTCAGCCGTTACGATGCCGTGCCCCTTCATTTCATTGCTGCTAACATTTCCCAAAATAGAGTCTCTATAACCGATTTATATACAAATGAGACCCAACTTCATTGCTAAACTCTCCAAATATTCCTATAAGCTTTCGCGGAAGATGAAGCACATTTACACACGTAACAGCTATAGAACGCATAACGAGATGAGGCGTATTCTTATTTAAACGCCCCTTTATAGAATGTATATTATATTCTATATGTACACATAGAATAAAGTATACTTTTAGCGTGACAAATGATCGTCTGTATATAACACTCGAAAGGCCAATATTTTACTTAAAACGTAAGTATTTCTACTTAATATATTCTGTATAAGTACGATACTTAAAACAATCTGATGACTAAAGAGGCCCTCATAATTTTGACTAAAGAGTCTCTAGTCCTATTTTGGAAGAAATATATTTTTCTTTTCCTGTGTGAGTTCGTCCGTGGTGGGTTGGAAGGAGTATTCACAGTTCAGTGCAGAGTGTGATTGGGAGAAATGGCCGAGAAGCCAAACAGCCAGGCGAATAAGCGTATCACACCTGCATCGTTGTTTGTCATCGTCCAGTTCAATGTACGGTTTGGTGGGTTTCAGTTCCCAAGCGTTTTGGTGTAATGAGTTCATTTCACGTTCGTCATCGGTGTTGTTCGTGCAGCGTGCCGTCCTTTTTGATGACGTCGCTAGTACATGTGCTGTCATAGGTGACTGTTGTGCACGGATACTGTGGATAGTATACTTGACCGTGAATGAACTATGAATAGTCTTGCCAATCGCTACGTGTTTGTTAAAGATTCTGTCAGTTTTCAGCGAAACCCGTGAAGTCCAAAGTTTGTAGTAGTGTACGACGTCGCTTCGAGCGCGCGGCTCAACTCACATGATAGGTCCATGACGCTTATTATTAGGTTGTTTAAACCAAATGATATAATCGAAATAGTTGACCTGTAAATTTTTCCCGTGTATATCTAAAATAGTTGTTGAAGAATCCCACCTCGATGAAGTTACCTTTCCGTAAAGGGCAGCTACACATGTTTTGACGCCATTCGTTATAGGGCTAGTAAATCAGTACCGTCAACGAAGAGGTGTTATTGCGATTTTCGATTTCTATGTAGAGAAGTCAAGTCGGTCGCGTCGACATGGCAGCTGGTTAGATTGTAATACCGTAGATTCGCTTATAGGTGATTTAACCGAGTAATTGCAAACGCTACGCGACATTTGCTTGCGTGCTTGTCTCTGGATCAGCCAGCACAATGGCCTCCTGATATGAACGCATTACGTTACGGCCGTTCCTGCGTCCCCCGTGCTCTTGGTGTTCCATTAAAATGTTAAATTATTGCATAGTTTAACCGAGGGCATTCTCTGCTGGATCTCAAAACGTCGATTTTGAGATCTGTCGTGACCACAATTTGCGGGACGACGGTTGTGAGACGTCACAGTCACGTGGTTCGGACGCGATCACGTGTCATGCTGACATTGTATCTTGGCTAATTTGGCGGCGTGATCCGCGGTATGTATGGGAGGAAACGTGTTGTTTATTAGTTTCCAGCTATAACTCTAGTTAAGTTTTCGAAGTAGTTTGTAGACACTTAGGTAGCGTTAGGCCTACATCGCGTATAATTAATACAAGATTCACTTTAGAATTTGTAATGTCGTTTTAATATGCCGATTTCCACCGTATATATTGCGTTGTAAGTGACGAAATAGTCTAAGTGCCATACTCGTGGCGATTGTTATGCTTATACAGACTTTTCCAAGCGTGTTATCGCGTGGCGTGCGTGGTAGCGTGACAACGCCTGACGCTGTGAGATGACAAACCAATCATATGACGCGTGCGTCGTTGCTGCATGTGTGCAGACGACAGCGTGGTGGAGCTACACGCTCGCAACAAGGGGGTTGAACAATCGTTAAAACTACATTGTGGCATGATCGTAAGCTTAGGAGATATATGATTATTGATTAACAGGATTTTTTTCGTTTATTTATTATCGACTTATATTTATTGGACTTTTGCAAGTCAAATATTTATTGGTCAGCAATTTTAGGTTAGCATACATAGAGTAGTTGTAGGTGCGTTAAGATGGTAACCATCACATAAATCAACCGGGTGAAGTGGAAGTTTCGGATCTAGTCACAAGCTATGAGTTATGACATTAATTTTAATTTCTGTATCGTTGAGTTACTGTACGTCGTTTTACAGTCTTGGTGTTCAGTTGTTATCTAAAGACTTGTCTTGGTGTAATTTGTTGGCATGTGGTACACTACGCGTGTTCGCAAACAATTTGTATCCAGAAATGCCAAAGATGAAATGAGTATGTGACAAAGATTGAGGACACCTCTATTTTCATATATTTATTTATTATTAATAATATTGAAACCTACGGATATTAATTTCTTATCAGTATTTTATTCGAATATTATTTGTCATGCGCATGACTGCAGGGAACCATGTAACCCATTTCGCGTTTCTCTGCAGTTGGGAAGCTAGCAAAATTACGTAATATAGCGAGTAGTGTAAGGCACATTATATTATCTCATATTAAACAAAGTATATAACTTATATAGCTCAATGCCAACTTGATAACAATTATAATTCGTTAATACGAAGCAGTATTTCTAGGCAGAACATGCGTGAGTAGCGAACGTGATTGCTTACAAATGTGCTGCTGCGTTTTACTTTCATATTTCGTTGGTCACGGTTCGTTGCCTTGGAATGTGCTTTGTACAAAAAAATAGCAAAAAAATACGAAAAAGTATATCATTTATTCTTGCCAAATATACTATTAGATAGGGTGACATTATAGTTTTTTAGGAGATGCTTCGTGATTTATTGTGTACCTGAGCTCTAGGCCGACGTTGATGAGCTGTTTATCAATATTTATCATTGTTTTGTTTGTTCGACCTCATGAATTTGTTCGGATCGACGTTGATTTGATGCTGAAATCGATAACGAATCTACATTCCGCATAAATTTTATTGTTGAAGAAAATCATTTCGTAACTAAATCATTCCTTGTAAAGGTGACTGTACTTTTTTGTTTTTAAAAATCAGTGTTATCCATGTCGCACGAGCGAGCATGCGCATGCGCGGGTTTCGCTATATGGCGCGGGTTGTGCGCATTGGTTCATATCATAAGTACGAGGCGTCTTTTACCTGTGGCGGCATTCGTCTCGGGTTTTTACTAAACCGTATGTACAAAGTTACTATTTTAGAGCTTAGAGATGCATTTATGGGACACGATGCCGTTAGGAGAACTGCTTGGTTTTTTGCCTAGAGCCGGAGTCTGCACTGCGCCACTGCCACCTATCGGTCAAATGAGTATATAGCAGCGGGCGCTGCTACACTACATATCAGAATATCAGGGCTTTCAAATTTCAATTTTATTTTACTTACCTGTACAAAATACTTGGACTCAATGTTCTTTGTATATTTGGTGGCTCTGAATGTCGTGGCATGATAGATCAGGTTGTTTTAACGTGTCTATAAGCCCGTGTGCCCGCTTGCGCTGGACATCCCACAGTTCATAATATAGTTTGATCAACACGTCACACTGAGGGGACGGCGTTAAGCCATCTAAACACGAGTATGAATTTTTCTGAGTGACGTCATTAGTGTAGTCGATGGTGGTTGTGGTTTGTGGCTGTGGCTGTTGGCTTGCCCGTCTTGAACAACTTTTGAGGCCAAATCGGTGTTAAGATTGTAAATATTGGTGTATACAGATTATTGGAAGTCTTTATTATTACTGTTCGTGCTTTATCATTCCCTAGAGCTTAATATTGAGTTTTCGATGTCACTTATATGATGCTATCGTGGCAATGTTTTTGGTTGTTGTGCAATACGATGCGATGAACGTTCCACGTGTGGGTGACCCAGAGGAAACCCGTTTCTGCTGACGGTGACACATTCCGCGCATTACCTTCTCCTCCTCCCACCCACCCATCAGCCGTATGTCAGCAATTCGTGCTGGAGTTTTAATGGAGGAGGAGCTCTGCGGTTCCGTGTTTCCCTATTTTCGAATTCATTTTATTTCATTGTCAAAAATGCAAATTGTTTTCCGTGACCGCTCTCTCTCTCTCTCTCTCTCTCTCTCTCTCTCTCTCTCTCTCCCCCTTCTTTCCTCTCGTTCTTCTCCACATCTTCGAGCTCTCCCCTTCTCTCTTTCTTCATTCCCCTGTTCTCTCTCTCTCTCTCTCTCTCTCTCTCTCTCTCTCTCTCTCTCTCCCGCTCCCATTCCTCTCTCATCGTTTTTCTTCTCCGCCGCTCCTCTGATTACTAGCATAATCTCTGGTCGTTCCATGATGTTTCGTCCATTGCCGTTGTTCTTGCACTGTTTAACAGTTTGTTCCGGTATAAAGGTATTTTTAGTTTAGTGGCGGTGGCGACTGTGCAGACTCCTACTGGTATTTCGCTGTTCATCTATTCCTGTTATAGTTTTATGCCATGTATAAATCATGGATATTTATATAGTAGAAATCTTTCATAGAACATATATTATCTTTCATATAACATGACATAGTTGCTTATATATTTAAAACAGATTTATAAGCTAACTACTTAAGATACAGACCAACTGCAAGTTGAAAATAAAATAAAGTTCGAAAAGCACTCGTGTCTTGCGGATTTTTCTGTTGTTCCGTTTATTTCCTTTATAATTAAGTAATTTGCGATTTTATGATACTTGTGAGTTCGCGTCTCTGGTTCTGTAATAATATATAGGTGTGTTGTCGTAACTGTTCGCGTGGATCCGACATGCGTTTCCTGACATTTCTGTAAATATGCACACATGATTATTACGATACCTTTTATTGATGGACGTAACTTACCCTGTGTATTCTCAGCGCGTCTTCCGCTCCATTAAAGATGATTCAATCCCCGTCATATAGTTTTTGGCGATACGGCATAAAGAATTCCTGTACATATAATATCAGGAGTAAGATAATATAGGATTATCTTATCTTATCTTATCTTATCTTATCTTATCCTATATTATCTTACTCCTGATAATATGCTGTCAAGTGAAATGACAGTATTTATACACGAATTCCTTTTTCTGGTGAGCTTTTACACCGTAGGGACCAGCAATGGATAGCGCTCGTGAACGAGAGGCTTGTGTGCGTGCGTGTATAGAGAGAACCGCGCGTAAAAGCACCAACCGTTTACATTACGACTGCGAAAACAAATAGGAAATTAGAGTGAGCGTATACTAGCGACTAATTGCGAGGGGCAGGAGTTTAAAGTATCTTCGAAAAAAAACTTGTTCTAGTCGACGAAGTAACGCGCCGTGTGAGACCTGCATTATCGACATCTTAATTGACCGGCTCCCCTGAGGAAGTACCCGCCACTTTCTATTTCCACCGCAACCGATATCGTTCGAAACTATTGCCATCGCGTGGAATGCGTCAGTAGGAAGATTGAAGAAACGAGGTGAACTTTAATGTATACCATGCAGTGAACGTTGTGTCTATGAATCGTACGGTTGTTTTCCCGCTAGTATACCCTATACGTGATGAACGTTAGTGCTCTATATATGGATTATTTTATTGCTTGACGTATTTGACAAATAGGTGGAACTGCCAAGTGATAGATCGTACCAGTGGAATGAGCTTGAGACAGTGGGCTTGTTTTATTCATAGCAACAGCGAATCACGCTTAATAAAGATACACTCGAGCTTTTATGCGAAATTGTATTGATTTATTTTATTTTTATTCTTAATCGATGGCTAACACTAGGTGCCACCTCTGTCGTGACTATTTCTCCATATAACGATGCATGTGACCTTCCAGGGCGTTTGGATTGCCCGCGTACGTGTAGTGAGCCGTGGCCCTTTAAACACTCATGACGTCAGAGACACGATAGAACAAACCTTTTCACGGTATTCATTATGTCGGAATTGTTGCCAATGTGGTCCATCCTGCACAACACACTGGTTGCATGCGAATATTGACGCGCGCAGAATGTTGTGTTGCATAAAGTAAAGCGCAATTATGTTAGCCTACTGTCTGTTGCTTTTTTCTTTACAAATATTTTTGCTTGCGCAAGTAATAGTTCACAACAAATGCGCGTACGGTGGGCTTTAGAAGCTGGTGACGCAGGTGCACACACACACACACACACAATAAATAAAATATAATGCAAACAAATAAAGAATGACGTCAAAAACGAATAGGCTAGTAACGTTAATTTCTGGCTGTAAACTCTTATGTTCCTCTGAATGCAGTTCAGCATGGCTCTAAATTGTGATACTCTAGGGGCTCGTTGTCTTAACATCAGCTTTTTCTCGTAGATCGGACCCTTATAAACTGCGTACGAAAAACTCGTAACTTTACCATGTTTCTGTCAACGGTCTACGAAAAGATTTAATGTTAATAATAATGTTAAGACTCTAATTTTGTTTCTCACACGGACCCTTGTTTCTCTGCGACCGTGCTTAAATACATGCATGTATTCGTAAATAAATATGAGAGTCTCGGTCAGTTTTAAACAGAGGGTGAGCTTCGTAGAGATCGAGCGGGTTGGAGTGAATGAGCTGTCGTTTGTAAGTTTGCGTCCTAGCCAAGAAAGCATACATCCGATCCACTTGGGATTCTGGCCATTACGGGTGATTCACTAGCTATTCAAGTTGACTGCCTTCATATTAGTTCCTCTCATGTTTGGTATATTCTGACAATAGAATACTATACTACACTCCGCGCCTTCCACTCATCGATATGCAGTCCCACTGCCCAATGTCAGTCTTCATGTCTTTCAGATCATGATCCTTTTGATCGCCTGATCATGATGTGGTAAAGCGATTTCACGCTATTATTACGTATCCTGTTACTGCGCTGGATCTTAATCTGTGCTATTATGCTGGTGAATGCCTCTCCGAGGTCACGTATATTGACAAAGCAGCGACCTCCATCAAGTCATTCTTAATAGGCAAGAGCCCTAATCAGATCGTGCATCGAACATGAGCATGGTGCAGCGGAGCGTGGTCATCATCACCATCGTCTAGTGCTGATCGATGCCTATGGCGGCGAGTATTTCTCAGCAAGTGCCTATATGTGTCTCGGGGAAAATACTTCGACCTTTCCACCTATGGTCTCGTTTTCTACTGTCAGCGTCTGCTTACTACAGATGGGCCATCGTGCTAAGTGGTTAGCTGTGTGCGTTTATTCAGCTTTTATTTCAGGCTTTTCTATCTATCCCGTAAGAGATTCCTTCAGATTCCCCTCGAAAGATCGGGGCTTAGAATTGCTAGAAGGCGATCGTAGTGACAGTTACTCAATCGGCGTTGCGCTCCGATCGTCTTCGCATATCATATTCATTAGCTGCTGCGCCGGCTAAGTAAACATACATCACCAAACCACGCGAAACAGACGAGTGCGGTGAAATCCCGCCAGTCGATGCAGCGTCAGCTCCGGCTTCGTTTTTCCTCGCTCCTACATTATGCTGCCGCTCTACCGTCTTCACCGGATAGCGCCCGACGACGGTGAAAACACTTCATGAGTAGCGTTTGTGTTCGCTGTTTTCCAACCGACCAACAAACTGCGGTGTCGTTCGCGCTTCGGTTGACGTCGACTTTAGGCTTTATTCAGGCGCGCGCGGTGGTTAGAAGCTTCTGGTAGCTGGTTTGCGTGGAGCGCACATCTGCTGCACCCAAACAACGCTCCCGAGTGAACCACGCCGGCTGTACCGCAGCATGCGTCTCGGCAGACACGCACTTCTGCACGAGACGCAGAGGCTTCACGAGCATAATGTGAATTAGCGAGAGACGAAGCCCAATGACGAGAGCCTTCGGACTCGCGGCCCCCCACTTACTGCCGCCCGCCGCCACGTTTTACGATGTTATATATGTGAATCACTATGTGTACGCGTGCGTGCTTGTGTGTGGGTGGTGTGGTGGTGGCGTGGGGGGAGGGGTATGTGTATGTGCGTGCATGTGTATGTGCGTATGTGTGTGTCTGTGTGTGCGCGCGTGTTTGTGTGTGTGCGTGCGTGCATGTGTATGTGTGTGTGTCTGTGTGTGCACGCGTGTTTGTGTGTGTGCGTGCATGCTTGTGTGTGTGTGTGTGTGTGTGTGCGTGTGTGTGTGAACTGTTCAATTGAACAATCAATCGATCAATTGAACGTTTGAATTTTGACACATCCCCTCCCATAAGACACCTCCTTTGCGCGAAAATTATCTATTTATTTATGTACTAATGCATTTCGAGTTTTTCTGCGATGCTACGCTGCTTTTTATCGGTTCTACAACATTGTTCTAATCCGCGCAAAATGCAAAACTGACGATGTACACTTTATAATTTACTATTTATCCGTCACGATATTCCTACACATGAAGTACAGCGGTGTTGTGTCTAGTTTGATAAGCTTCGCCACATATCTACTTTTAATAAACGTAGTCAGACGAGGTTTTAGACAATTAGATGAGCCACGTCGCTCTCTTGTGGATTAGATGAGGCAGATGTCTCAATGAATAAATCTATCGGTAAGCGCTTGCTGTTGCTGTTATTCATGCCAGTTTTCCTACTTAATGTACTCGAACCTCGAGTAGATAGATGACAAATTATACGCGAATTCATAGCGAAACATCGCGGCTAAACAATGCCCTCATATTGCTAGACTAGGGCTATAATGTATAGTATTGTGCTCGAACGAGTTGGTTTATATTTTTCTTCGGCCTCGCATGGAATGAATCGCTGCGCCTCGTATGGTTGTATAGCCGCTAGCTTTTAATACAAGGCTCGATCCAACACGGCTGTAATTTCTCAAAGCTGAAGTCTTCATTCGGTCTAAATATAAGGACAGCGAAAGCAAAGCCAGCCATCGTTAAAGCGCCACTGTCTATTTCATGCACAGGAGTGAGCGCAATCAAATCTCAAAAATAAATTCGAAAGGAACTAAGCGCCATTCGCATGTACGTGCGTGCGTGCGTGCGTGCGTCGGCATGCGCGCGGCGTGCGTGTATGCGTGCGTGCGTGCGTGCGTGCGTGCGTGCGTGCGTGCATGAGAACGAGTTTGCGAGCGTAAGGGCATGCTACGTGTCTGTGTGCCTGCGCGCGTAGGCGCGTGCTGGTGACTATGGTACTGTATGTGCGGGTATGTGTAAGTATCAGGAGTAGATAATAGGGATTATCTACTCCCTATTATCTACTCCTGGTAAGTATGTATGTTCATGTATTTTGACAGACATGGGGTACAACGTGCACTCTTAATAAGTGCAATTCTCTGTTCAGTTTCGTTTGTTTTAAGGAGAGCAGCATAGTGCAATCGTGAACGAACACAGGCATATTCGCGACAGGAACGTACTAGGAGTTAGTGAAAGACATGTCCGCGGCGCAGAGAAAAGAGATACAGGGGATAAGGGGGGCAATGCCCATGCCAGGACACCTGCAGGAGTAATTGAAGGGGCGCACTCAGTATAGGCAAGCATATCACTTGTTCGAAAATTAAAATGAATCCGATTTTGGTTATACCTCAGTTAGCGTCAATTACCTCAACCGCTTTTACAGCCTTTATCGACAAATAGCGTCACGAATCAAAACAGCTTTAAAAATGAGTTTCTCACAATTATAAGTGACACGCGGAGTTTCATGTTTTGCAGTAAAACTACGCATGCGTGGAACAAATTCAAGCTAATAAATTGAGACAGTTAGATCCAGCGAAATCGTAATTCATTTGAGAAAAAATAGGGAATGCGCGAACTTGGTTGTTAATGAAATCTCTCCTATTTTAGGGTTTGTGCAGTTTATTTACTAAACATATTCCCATATACCCATATCATATATTTGAATTTCTCAGGACATAGCCAGGTTGGAGTAGCCTAGGATAGCAAAGATTTCACAAAACGTAAAACATTCTTAACGAAATTGAAATCGTTATACGACTTCGATTTCTATACACCAGCAGGCGTTTGTAAAAAAAAATACACCTGAAGCTCTTTAAAACCCTAAATAAATTAATTAAACCAATCGGAAGTCATTAAATGTTAGTAACACTAAACATAGGTTGTGTTATAAGTGCCTGGAACATCATAAATTTTCTCGACACCGAATTGACACTAAACCCCTCCAAGGGCCTTTTCTAAAATAACATTTTCCACTGAGAATCGCCAGACTACACGCCTAAATTTTCGATGGAAAGCTTCTGCCTATTAAGTGGCATTATGGAAATCAGAGATACGACGGCTGCGTTACTTAACCGTTATTATATGGATCGTATTATGTTTTGGGCGGTTTTACTCTGTGAACCTGTACTTTGGTTATTTCTTCTACTATGTTGCGTTCTTTCCTGCTGGCCTAATCTCACTTATCTGCGAGCATAGATATCACGTGTGCACAGCATGCGCATAATGTGTTACTATCGCTACGTGTATCGGGAAAATATCCCGTAAAATGTTCTACGGTGTCCTAGATGCACTTCTAGCAGCACTTACATATTTCCGGTACACACTGTGTTTACACTCGTACACAGTAACATTCGTGTATTCGCCAAAATCGCGGTTTTGCGGTCACAGAACCAGCGAAGGCCTGTCTATCGGTGCGGTGTTCGACCTCTCGCTACGCTCCGTCACTGCGCGCTAGCAGCCGACATCTGAAAAACACTTCTCTCTCGATTCGCCACAATTACACAGCAGGCAAACACCGAGCTCCTAAAAGCTTTCTCCGCCGCGCATCGGTAACTTGATTAGGCCTGCCTTCGCGCGAGCATGCGCAAATGAGTCACCGGGCTAGCGGCGGCCGACGTACAAGACAGACGAAGAAATTGCGTGCGCCGTGGCAGTCGACCGACGTGGCGCCATCTATCGGCCGGCACAGGCACTACGCGCGTGTTGTCCACTCGGCTGGCAGGCAGCGCGCGTCAATCGTCTGCGTAACGCTAGAGCAAAGAACACGCGTCGATTTTATTCTCTTCGGCTACCGGCTATGAGTCAGCCAACAGCAGCAGCATCGACGGCGGCGGAACCGTAAATATTTTCCAGCCTCTTTCGACGAGCTGGCGCGAGTATATACAGCTTCGGCGTACAACCCACGTGCCGCACTTCTGCCGCGGCGCGCGCAACCATACTGTGAGCACGCGCCTGCTGTAAAACACGAAGCTGCTTCGACGGGGGATCCGCAGCAGGAGCGAGAGAGCGGGCTGGTGTTGATAAGTGTGTGTGCGGTGCTCGCTTAGCCCTTTGGCCTCTCACGAAGTGATGTATCACTGAAGACGAGCGAGTTCGCAAGACGGCGATCTCAGGAGTAGCTTGCAGGATGCTAATATGAGGCTCTCGGTGCCTAGCGCGGCGACGCAACGCGTGGTCGAGTAGAGCGAGAGAGGTGGAGAAGGGAAGAGAGAGAGAGAGAGGGGCAGAGACAGAGAAAGAGAGAGAGAGGGGCAGAGACAGAGAGAGAGAGAGAGAGCAATATAGATAAAGAGCGGGAGATACGACAATGGCTCGTGCGCTGTTCCCGTTCACAGCCAACACACGTTCATTCCAGTTTATCTCGCCGTACACCGGGAGGCAGGATCATTGTGAACATATCTGAACGGTCGGGATGAACGTACTCGGCCTTCTACTGCTGGCGGTTCTACACGGTAAGAACCTTCGTATGGTGACGACGAATACGATGACGACGATGACGATGATAAGAATGATGATGGCGAGTGATATGACAATGACGGTGACGATTCGAGGGACGCTCATGGACATACATGATGTGTTTCAGTAGTGATGCGTTGCTGATTGCAGGAGATTGGCTTCCGCTACGGTTTTAATTCTAGCGTTTACTCTGTTGCTTTTTGTTGGTTAAATTTCAGCTGCTGCTAACGTCATCGTCGTCATCGTCGACGTCGTCGTTGTTTTTGTTTTTGTTTTTATTGTTGCTTTTTGTTGCTCGTCCTTATTGTTATTTTTGTTGTGGATCTTCTTCTTCTTCTTTTTCTTCTTCTTCTTCTTCTTCTTCTTCTTCTTCTATCTCTCATACCAGAAAATAGCTACATGGGGTTTGGTTGGTAATATACCGCAGTACGCCTAAGAAGATACTGCGTGAACTATTCACTCCATGTAGTGTAGCGACACAACGCCGCAATTACCGCACTAACAACCGCAACTACGCTGTGACCTTACATAGCGCGAGGATAAGCACGAATCACGAATAACAGTAATCACGCAGAATCATATCAATTACCAAAATGGCCAATTAAATATTCCCATAATAAGACCGAGAGTAAGGGATTTGTCGAGTGGCTGACTGGCTGACCGACCATTCAAGAGACTGGCCACACGAAGTCTAGCATGGGGATGTAGTCGTGCTCACGTTTAACGCTGCAAACCTTATAACAGTAGCATTCAATCTTGTCACCACAACCACCGATGCCCTTTTCCGCTACAGTAATGCCGGACAGATATGCCACTGACTGTGTATTTAAAATGGCTCACAGAGGACATTCAGCATAGAACAAATCTAATAACTAGTAGAATGAAATCTAATTGTAATCTTAAATATAATTGTATGAAATCTGCAAATGTGCAATGTGCATGCTAAATGCTGACGTGATAAATCGCTGCAATCTCATTGGATAACGCAGTTTAGCGTGGGCAAAGGCACTATCGCTTGCGCGACGCATTGTTATTATAACGCATTGTGTTACGTCACGAATCTTCTGCGTCTGGGCGCACAAGATTTTTGGAATTAATGGCGATTGTGTTTGGTCGAGCGTTTTGTTACATCGAATGCACGGCAAATTAGGGAGTATAAAAAGGTATATACGCATGAAAAGTAGATTGCTAGGCTAGTCATGTGATGCACTAAAAACATTAATGCTGCTGTTGGGGGCACTATGCTCTCATAGTGTTGCTGTGGAAGGAATAGTGCCCTCGCTACCGCTCGGGCAGATTCCTTCCCTCAGCAACACTATGAAGCATAGTGCCCCCAACAGCAGAGCGCATTAATTATAAGTATTGTGCTCAACGAGTCGGTTTATATTTTTCTTCGCTCGCATGGAAGTGAATCGCTGCCCTCGTATGCGTTGTATAGCCGCTAGCTTTGTAATACAAGCTCGATCCAACACGGCGTAATTTCTCAAAGCTGAAGTCTGTCATTCGGTCGTAAATATAAGGACATGCGAAGCAAAGCGCACCCATCGTTTATAAGCGCCACTCGTCTATTTCATGCACAGGATGTGAGCGCAATCAATCTCAAAAATAAATTTCCGAAAGGAACTAAGGCCAATTCGGCTATTACGTGCGTGCGTGCTGCGTGCGTCGGCATTGCGCGCGGCTGGGTATGCGTGCGTGCGTGCGTGCGTGCTGTGCGCGCGCACGTGCGTGCATTGAGAACGAGTTTGCAGCCGTAGGGCTATGCTAGGTCTGTGTTGCCTCGCGCGTGGCGCGTGCTGTGACTATGGTACTGTATGTGCGGGTATGTGTTAAGTATCAGGAGTAGATAGATAGGGATTACTACTCCCTATTATCTACTCGTGGTAAGTATGTATGTTCATGTATTTTGACAGACATGGGGTACAACGTGCACTCTTAATAGTGCAATTCGTTCTGTTTCAGTTTCGTTGTGGTTTAAGGAGAGCAGCATTAGTGCAATCGTGAACGAACACAGGCATCTATTCGCCGACAGGAACTACTAGGAGTTACGTGGAAAAGACATGTCGCGGCGCAGAGAAAAGAGATACAGGGGATAAGGCGGGCAATGCCCATGCCAGGACACCTGCTAGGAGGTAATTGAGGGGCGCACTCAGTATAGGCCAAGCATATCACTTGTTCGAAAATTATAAATGACATCCGTTTTGTTATACCTCAGTTAGCGTCAATTACCTCAACCGCTTCTTACAGCCTTTATCGACAAATGGCGTTCACGAATCAAAACAGCCTTAAAAATGAGTTTCTCACATTAATAAGGGCCACGCGGAGTTTCATGTTTGCAGTAAAACTACCATGCGTGGAACCAAATTCAAGCTAATAAATTAGACATTAGATCCAGCGAAATCGTAATTCATTGAGAAAACAACTAGGCGAATTGCGCGCGAACTTGGTTGTTAATGAAAATCGTTCTCCTATTTAGGTTTAGTGCAGTTGGTTATTTACTAAACTATTCCCAATACCCATTTATCACTATTTTGAATTTCTCAGGACATTAGCCAGTTGGGAGTAGCCTAGGATAGGCAAAGATTTCACAAAACGTAAAAACATTCTTAACGAAATTGAAAACGGTTATACGACTTCGATTCTTAACACCAGCAGGCGTTTGTAAAAAAAAAATATCACGCTTGAAAGCTCTCCTAAAACCCTAAATAAATTAATTAAACCATCGGAAGTCATTAAATTGTTATAAACACTAAACATAGGTGTGTTATAAGTGCCTGGGAACATCATAAATTTTCTTCGGACACCGAATGACACTAAACCCTCGAAGGGCCTTTTCTAAAATAACATTTCCACTGAGAATCGCCAGACTACACGCTAAAATTTTCGATGAAAGCTTCTGCCTATTAAGTGGCATTATGGAAATCAGAGTACGTACGGCCTGGTTACTTAACCTGTATTATCATGGATCGTTATTATGTTTTTGGGCGTTTACTCTAGTGAACCTTACTCTTGGTTATTTCTTCTTACTATCGTGTGCGTTCTTTTCCTGCTGGCCTAATCTCACTTCTCTGCTGAGCATAGAATATCACGTGGGTGCACAGCATGCGGCATAATGTGTTACTACGCTACGTGTATCGGGAAAATATCCCGAAAGTTCTACGGTGTCCTAGATGCACTTCTAGCAGCACTTACATATTTCCCGTACACACTGTGTTTACACTCGTACACGTAACATTCGTGTAATTCGCCAAAATCGCGGTTTTGCGGTCACAGAACCAGCGAAGGCCTCGTCTATCGTGCGGGTGTTCGAACTCTCACTACGCGCTCCGTCACTGCGCGGCTTAGCAGCCGACATCTGAAAACACTTCTCTCTCGATTCGCCACAATTACACAGCAGGCAAACACCGAGCTCCTAAAAGCTTTCTCCGCCGCGCGATCGTAACTTGATTAGGCCTGCCTCGCGCGAGCATGCGCAAATGAGTCACCGGGCTAGGCGGCGCCGACGTACAAGACAGACGAAAAATTCGCGTGCGCGTGGCAGTCGACCGACGTGCGCCATCTATCGGCGCGCACAGGCAATACGCGGTGTTGTCCACTCGGCTGGCAGGCAGCGCGCGTCAATTCGTCTGCGTAACGGTAGAGCAAAGAACACGCGTCGATTTTATTCTCTTCGGCTACCGGCTATGAGTCAGCCAACAGCAGCAGCATCGACGCGGACGCGAACCGTAAATATTTTCCAGCCTCTTTCGACGAGCTGGCGCGAGTATATACAGCTTCGGCGTACAACCCACGTGCCGCACTTCTGCGCGCGCGCGGCAACATACTGTGAGCACGCGCCTGCTGAGTAAAACACGAAGCTGCTTCGACGGGGGACCACAGCAGAGCGGAGAGCGTGCCGTGTTGATCAGTGGTTGTGTTGCGGTGCTCGCTTAGCCCTTTGGCCTCTCACGAAGGTGATGTATCACTGAAGACGAGAGGATTCTTCGCAAAGACGGCGATCTCAGGAGTAGCTTGCAGGATGCTAATATGAGGCTCTCGGTCCTTAGCGCGGGCGACGCAACGCGTGGTCAGTAGAGCGAGAGAGGTGGAGAAGGAAGAGAGAGAGAGGAGGGCAGAGACAGAGAAAGGAGAGAGAAGGGCAGAGACAGAGAGAGAGAGAGAGAGAGAGCAATATAGATAAAGAGGCGGAGATACGACAATGGCTCGTGCGCGTGTTCCCGTTCACAGACCAACACACGTTCAATCTCATTTATCTCGCCGTACACCGGGAGCAGGATCATTGGTGAACATATCTGAACGGTCGGATGAACGTACTCGGCCTTCTACTGCTGGCGGTTCTACACGGTAAGAGAACCTTCGTATGGTGACGACGAATTACGATGACGACGGGACGATGATAAGAATGATGATGGCGAGTGATATGACAATGACGGTGACGATTTCGAGGGAGCGCTCATGGACATACATGATGTGTTTCAGTAGTGATGCGTTGCTGATTGCAGGAGATGGCTTCCGCTACGGTTTTAATTCTAGCGTTTACTCTGTTGCTTTTTGTTGGTTAAATTTCAGCTGCGCTAACGTCATCGTCGTCATCGTTCGACGGTCGTCGTTGTTTTGTTTTTGTTTTTATTGTTGCTTTTTTTGCTCGTCCTTATTGTTATTTTTGTTGTGGATCTTCTCTCTCTTTTTCTTCTTCTTCTTCTTCTTCTTCTTCTTCTCGCTCTTCTTCTCTTTTTCTTCTTCTTCTTCTTCTTCTGTCTTCTTCTTCTTCTTGT